GTTGTTGCTAAATGTTTCTCTTTGCGGGACTAACGATAGAAAGGGTAGGGTAGAAATTACGGTTTGGGGTTCAAAAATGGCGGTCAAACTGTGAGCTATGTTCAACAACATGAAAGAGCAGTTGGTCCAAATATTTTGGAGTTTAACCCTCTTTTCGGCTTTCAAGGTAAGCTCTCTAGTCGATGTACGCATGTCATGCATGCTTATATACGTGTGCTGTTGGGAAGGAGTTTAGAATAGATTACGGTCAGATCGCTCAAACATTTAGTAGAAGCTAAGGAAAAGTTCTATAAATAAGATATACTTAGAAGCTTAAACGGTTAGAGTACGGGTATTGTGTATTAATGAAAGAGAGAACCAATCCGAAAAGCAGAATGTCTCCGTTTAGCCTGTGACCTAAACTCGGCCAGAAGTGCAGATCTTACAACTGTGAGGGTGTAATGAATTAAAAAGCTGTAAATAACGTACCAAGGGAAAGTGGCACATATCAGTAAAGTAAGGTTCAGGACTTTTGGTTTTGTCCCAGAGATTTTACTTTACGTTTCTGGCTGAATACTGATACTTCGGAGGTGGCGTGGTTAAGTGGTCAGTGCGTTGGATTTGTAATCCGGAGTTCCCGGGTTCAAATCCTGCTCCGCCACTGCGTGGATTTGTGTTTGGTGGTGGTTCCAAAAACTCCTCTACGCTTTGTAAATAGGCAAATGGTGATCCCCTAACGAGTTGGAACTTGTGACAAGGTTTCAGTTCTACAGCTGCATTATGTTTCTTACTCGATTTGTCGTGTCTCTATTATTTTATCTTTTTATTTCATCCTTTCAAGTGCTCTATAATATGTAAGCATTTTTGCGCATCTTGCAAAAGTAAGTCTAGGGCCTGGCGGAATTGTTCTACTATCGTTTTCGAGTAAGTAGATATTCGTTAAAGTGAGCTAACTCATTACGCTTCAGTGTTTATTTTTTCAGCGGGTGATCGCGATGATGAAATGTGTTTTTACCCCCATCAAGTGCCTATTAATCATCAAGAGCTCATCAGAGGGAATTATTCTGTGCTCTAGTTATCCATTTGCCAAATGAGTTCTGTAATTAAACAACGTCGTAGATGTTTGTTGCAAAGATCATTTTTTTTGGTCAGACTTTTACACAAATACTGTAAAGTAAATACGTTGATCTGAATCTTTTGGCCATCAATGAATCACAACTATCACAACACCGAAGGGTAAGAATGGTGCTGATATGAAACGTTCGTTTTTTGAGCAACGAATCTGGAATTACCTCAGTGTAGCCCTGATTAAAAAGCTGGCAGTCCTTCCGAGCAGGTCTAACAATTTATGGAAGACTCAGAAATCATNAAGCTCTCTAGTCGATGTACGCATGTCATGCATGCTTATATACGTGTGCTGCTGAGAAGGAGTTTAGAATAGATTACTGTATCGCTCTTTCAAACATTTAGTAGAAGGAAGAGTTCTGTAGATAAGATATACTTAGAAGCTTAAACGGTTACAGCACGGGTATTGTGCATTAATGAAAGAGAGAACCAATCCGAAAAGCAGAATGTCGCCGTTTAGCCTGTGACCTCAACTCGGACAGAAGTACAGATCTTACAACTGTGAGGGTGTAATGAATTAAAAAGCTGTAAATAACTTACCAAGGGAAAGTGGCACATATCAGCAAAGTAAGGTTCATGGCTTTTGGTTTTATCCCGGAGTTTTTACTTTACGATTCTGTCTGAATGCTGATACTTCGGAGGTGGCGTGGTGGTCAGTGCGTTGGATTTTTAATCCGGAGTTCCCGGGTCAAATCCTGCCCCGCCACTGGATGGATTTGTCTTTGATGGCGGTTCCAAAAACTCCTCTACGCTTTGTAAATAGACAAATGGTGATCCCCTAACCAGTTGGAACTTGTGACAAGGTTTCAGTTCTACAGCGGCAATAAGTTTCTTACTCGATTTATCGTGTCTCAATTATTTTATCTTTTTATTTTATCCTTTCAAGTCCTCTATAATATGTAAGCATTTTTGCGCATTTTGCAAAAGCAAGTCTAGAGTCTGGCGGAATTGTTCTACTATCGTTTTTGAGTAAATAGATATTCGTTAAAGTACTAGTGAAGTAACTCATTATGCTTCAGTGTTTACTTTTTCAGCGGGTGATCGCGATAATGAAATGTGTTTTTACCCCCATCAAGTGCCTATTAATCATCAAGAGCTCATCAAAGGGAATTATTCTGTGTTCTAGTTATCCATTTGCCAAATGAGTTCTGTAATTAAACAACGTCGTAGATGTTTGTTCAACCTGGATCATTTTTTTTTTGGTCAGGCTTTTACACAAATACTGTGAAGTAAATACGTTGATCTGAATCTTTTAGCCATCAATGAATCACAACTATCACAACACCGAGGGGTAAGAATGGTACTGATATGAAACGTTCGTTTTTTGAGCAACGAATCTGGAATTACCTCAGTGTAGCCCTGATTAAAAAGCTGGCAGTCCTTCCGAGCAGGTCTAACAATTTATGGAAGACTCAGAAATCATCCCCTCGGAGTGCTGAAAGCGGAAAATGTTGTCAGGTTGTAGGGGGTGTTTTTTTTCAGCTAGTATTGATTGGCGCACAGTAAGCAGGAGTACACGAAATCAGGTTTGACGTGGAGATCAATACTTTATGAGTTAAATCGCATCAGTTATGTAGAAACGGCGAGGACCGTGAACAGGAATACATTTTTGTGAGAAATCGGTATCATTTCTCAGTAGGCAATAAAAGCTTAACAAAACTTCAAGAGGGTTTACTTGCAGTTCTTTTCAACAAAGGTAATCGATCTCATCAAGACCGTTGTTTGTTTCAGAACGCATCAGCATCAGGCAAAGTAACAGTTCTCCTTATCAACTATGGCAACAGTAAATCACAACTAGCCGACGGCAGTTGCTGCGACAACTTGAACTGGTGCATTTCCAGCTGCGACAATTTCTTCCGGCTGTGTTTCGCCTTGACCTCTTCCTCCGACAAGTGCGCGCTGTGGAAAGGTTGGACGGCTGTACTAGGTGGCGACAGTTTCTCCTTCTCAAAAGGAAGTCTTGGGAATGGAATCACGAACCCTGTAACTTACAGCTTCACACATTGGCAGGTAAGACGTACAGGCAGCAAAGAAGCGACATCACAAATTTCAGTAAAATGGTTGCTAGAGTAAGACTGCGTCGTATTCAACAAAATTCTTCCAAAATTAGAATGATTGTGTTGTCCTGTCATAATCTCTGCCAAGAGACCATGACCTCTATAGATCGTCCCCTGTTCCTGCTCACTTCTAAGAGAATTACAAGGGCTGCAAAACCAAGCAAACGTATCTAAAAAAAATTCTCGAATGATATTAGTGCCACAATATACTATAACAGCATGTTCAGGGCCAACACATTCTTGGTATAATAGCCAAGCCAAGAGACATTTTTTTGTTCTGTTAGCTCTCTTTGTTTGTTTAAAAAATTGTTTTTGAAACTTGTGCTGTAGTTGAAATCCTGGAGATGTACTAAGACAGCGCGTGATACAAACAACCATATTCTACTTTTTTCACTTCCAGCCAATTGTGTTTGATGTTGCTGAGTATGGGACAATGATGATGGCAATATCGTAGGTCAGGATAAGGACTTTGTGGATCGCTACTCGTTACCCATTCGAACAAGCCCCTCTGAAAATCTTGCCTCCGCAAGGGCTAAACGTTACAAACTGACGGGTCCGGGATACTCGTACTTGAACGTGGAGGTGAAAGTGTTTTGCGACGTAAATTATTTCATACCAGACTGTTCCACATACTGTGTGCCACGAGATGACAACAGTGGACATTACATCTGTGATTATATACAAGGCCGCAGAGTGTGTCTGTCTGGATGGTTTGGTAGTGACTGTCTCACTTACTGTGTGGCCAGGAATGACACTTTGGGGCATTACAGTTGCGATGCAAATGGGCAAAAACAATGTTTAAGCAACTGGAATGGGCAGGACTGCTTGGTTTATTGCAAGCCCAGGAACAGCACTTTAGGACATTACAGTTGCGATGCAAATGGGCAAAGGCAATGTTTAAAAAACTGGTATGGGCAGGACTGCTCGATTTACTGCAAGTCCAGGAATGACACGCAAGGACATTACATATGCGACAGTACTGGAAATATTGATTGCTTACCAAGGTGGAGAGGGAAAAATTGCACCGAAGGTGAGATAGGAAAGCACAACACGGGTGACTTCACTGAATTTCCTTACTGTGCAACTGGCCTTCTCCTGCCCAAAACGTTCTTTGCCCGTTGACCAAGAGCAAGTAACTAACCATTTTGCCTCTACATTAGGTAACGTTAATGATGGCAGACCCTCGGAGCAGCGGTTTCCAATACGTTGAAGGGCTTAAAGTACAAAATGAATTTGCAGTGTACTGTTGTTTTCATGGAAATCTTTTAGGTGGCTAATTTCCACTCCCCCCCCCCCCCNGCACAGCTATCTCCTTAGCAGCAACCTTCTCTTTGCCTTTGTTATCTGCAGCCAGGACAGTCCCAACCCCCTTGACGCCTTCGTCATTTTACTTGTTACTGCCTACTTCAACTCATAATGTAGGAAAAAGCACTTCATCGCAGTCTAAGGGAACTGTCAAGACTTCTGGCTTCTCTGCAAACAGAGTTAGTAGTACGGCTTTGACTTCCAGTGTATCTGGCCATGGGGTGACACGAAATAAACTTCCTCATTTAAGCGCGCTGATGACCACGAGTACTGGACATTCTGTCGCCATGGATACCGCGCCAGTTCTTACAACAACATGGGCGACTGCGTGTGTGAGCGGTGCTTCCGAATCTTCTCTGGTATCTCGTAACACTCTGCATGGGCTTCCATCACGGCTTACGACTTCTAGTGAATCAGAAGAATTAGAACGAATTGAGACTGCGAGAGTGACAATGTCGACGTCCCTGTCTCAACTTAGTTCATCACCAAGTGCTCCCAGTCCACGGATAAGTGCACCCACAGATCAACCAACTGAAATGGACAAGATGACGTTTTCTTCATTACGTCTCTATATAACTTCTGGACGTCAAACGTCGTTGTCCCAGCTAAGCTCACCCTTGAGTGCTTCGAGTTCACAGCTGGACGTGCCCACTTTGATTTTAACATCTACTATTGTGTTGCCTTGTACCACACATGAAGAGATTATTACAAAACCAACTGAAACGAAGGAAGAACTGACCCCGTCAACAAGTCGTCAACGTCAGACGTTTCTAAGCATTTCCAGTCTACAGACAATGGCATCTACTTTGATGTCGACCTCATCTGTTGAGCTGCGTTGCGCTACAAACGAGGGCGTAGCTGCGCCACCAACTGCTCAACCTGAAGAAACGTCCAGCATACCGGGCATCATGGTGCAATTCCAGCCAGCCAAGAGCGATCAGGAATTGGTAAGGACTCAAAGAGCAACCAGTCGACAGACATTTTTACAATATCAGATAAGAATCATTATCCTGAATATATGGAGAAAACAGTACGTAAATGCTTGTAATAATTGACAGTAAATCTTTGGACT